TATAGCTGGAATATTGCTTAGTGCGGCGTCAAACATAAAACAAACCAAACCAAACTGTGTCATTCCCCTTGATTTAACCCAGCCGAGGATATTCACTGATTAGAGTGTTGAGTTAATGAATTCTCAGGTGTTAATTTGTCGTAGCCGACTTAAATAATCTCGTCAATTATCTTGTCAAAGTGTTGATTTAGCTGTCCTCTTTGTTTCACTGTCATACTGTTGCTTAGGGGCGGTCGGGTAGCCTAGTGGTTAAAGCGCTAGCTTGTCACGCTGAAGACCCGGGTTCGATTCCCGACATGGGTACAATGTGTGAAGCCCATTTCTGGCGTCCCCCGACGTGATATTGCTGGAATATTGCTAAAAGCGGCGTAAAACAATACTCACTCACTCACTATATTTTGATCCTTTTTATTGTCATCTATGCTTACAACTAGCTGATAGTAATAAACCTTCGAACCTATTACCACGTTTTCATTATTACCTTATTCTTGGTTAATGACACGCTGGTCTCTTTAGCACAGCCGGGGCGGTCGGGTAGCCTAGTGGTTAAAGCTTTCGCTCGTCACGCCGAAGACCCGGGTTCGATTCCCGACATGGGTACAATGTGTGAAGCCCATTTCTGGTGTCCCCCGCCGTGATATTGCTGGAATATTGCTAAAAGCGGCGTAAAACTATACTCACTCACTAACTCACTTTAGCACAGCCCCGTGACAAGGAGCCTCCCGGCCTTACGAGCAAAGGTTGTTGGGGACCTGCCATATTTCCTGTTAGACGCCTGTAACCCAGTACACCACGGCCTTCAACTGACGCCGGGTCAAACGTTCTTTTCATAAACTACAAGCCGGGTCCATCATTTAATATAATTACCTATCGCTATGAGATTAATCTAGAGCATGTAAGGATAAACAGCTTTCACTTCCGATATATCCAAGTGTCTATGGAAACGCCATATCAATTTCACACGGTTTTTTTTGGATTCGGTAAGATTGTAAGTTGCCACTGTGTCGGTATCAACAGAATAGACACCGGGTCAACGGCTTGCGCGACCCGTGAAGATCCGGGATAGAATAGGTCTTCAGCAGCCCATGCTTGTCGTAAAAGGTGACTATGCTTGTCGTAAGAAGCGACTAACGGGATCGGTTGGTCAGTCTCGCTGACTTGGTTGATGCATGTCATCGATCTCAATTGCGTGGATCGATACTCATGGTGTCAAATACTGGATTGTTTGGTCCAGACTCGATTATTTTACAGACTGCCGTCATATAGCTGGAATATTGCTGAGTGCGGCGCTAAACAACAAACAACCAAAGCTTGCGCGAAAATAATAGACTCCCTGATGTCTAATGGAGGAAATACGGTATTCTAACTCTGAATTCATCTGTTAATCCAAATCTAAGAATCCACCGTACAGTGCATTTATGAGAGAACATGTTATTGAGACGGTAAATCACGCAATTACTGTTATTATTGCCAAACATATAATCAAAGCCCACAGTAACTACGATCGTATAGATTTTCTTGTGAAACAAAAGCTTTTCATCCATCTAAAGTGTCACAGGATGGTGCTTGAGAAGATGAATCCAAGGATATGTGTCTGAGGACGATTTCTTTCATCACCATAGTAACCATAATCAACACTTTATATCCTAAATATTTAGCGGGACCGCCTCCGTGGCCTAGTGGATAGAGCGTCTGTCGGAAAGCGGAAGCTCGGTGGTTCTATCCGGATCCCCACCCGCGTCATACCAAAAGACGTTAAAAGGTGGTACTTGTTGTTACCCTGCCTGGCGCACGGCATTAAAGGAATAAAACAAGGACGGGTCGCCTCGGACCAATTATACTGTGTATGAGTTGGGTAGCCATGTTAAACTGCGGCATGGTAAATCAGTACGATAAAACCGACATTAGTACTCTGTACAAGCACACACACACACGCATGCACGCATGCACATGCCGCTATAGAAGTACAGTAATCTTGAACGCAGCGTTAATCCCCATCTCAATTTTAGCACTTTTCTCTGTGTGTGTGTGAGAGAGAGAGAGAGAGAGAGAGAGAGAGAGAGAGAGAGAGAGAGAGAGAGAGAGACGTTGCGAGGGCAGCGGAATAACTATATTTTACGAGCGCTTTGTACAATCATTCGTAACCCCAGCCAGATTGTTGTTTGGGACAGTCAGTGTGCACCAAGAGCATCAAATGGTTGACCGCATGGTTCTTATCTCTGGTAACAAGGGTTAAACCTTAAGTGACTATATTTCCTACACCTTTGTTGTATATTGCCATTGCTATGACGACATCCACGAGCTTTTGACTGTTTATAACTACCACACCCCAAAATACCCCAACCCTGTAGGGACGGTGGGTAAGCCCAGTAGTTAAAGCGTTGGCTCGTCACGCCGAAGACCCGGGTTCGCATCCCGACATGGGTACAATGTGTGAAGCCCATTTCCGGTGTGATATTGCTGTAATATTGCTAAAAGCGGCGTAAAACCATACTCTCTCACCCCAACCATGTAAACAAAAACTAAAAATGCAAAACTTTTGAAAAAACGTTAATGCCCATTCTTGGGTAATACATGTCTGATACATTCTTAGAGCCTTCCTATTACATTTCAAAACAAAATATTTTTTTTAATAATCCGAGTTTAATGTTTTGTAATAATAATATTAATATATAATCGACGTTTGCCTGGATTTCCCCAATCAATGTGCTGCAGCAGATATAGAAAATTATGGATTTAGGTATATGCTTGCGCCTGAGATGTCTGGTTAGTCTGGCAGATGTCCAAGGTTTCGATAGATGCTTGTCGTAAGAGGCGACTGGATTGTCTGGTCCAGCCTCGATTATTTACAGACCGCCGTCATATAGCTTGAATATTGCTGAGTGCGGCGTTAAACAAAAAACAAGCGGGACTGTGTAGTAACCTAGAGATATCCGGACATTCAAACAAACGTGGCATGGTCATCCAGAGAGATCAAGTTTTGGGTGTTTGTTTGTTGTTTCAAGCCGCACTCAGCAATATTCCAGCTATATGAGTCTGGACCAGACGCTCCAGTGATTGACATCATGGAATTGGGATACGATAACATGCATCAACCAAGTCAGCGAGGCTGACCACCCGATCCCGTTAGTCGCCTCTTACGACAAGCATAGTCGCCTTTAACGAGTGCGGCGTTAAACAACAAACAAACAAACCAATCTTACGACAAGCATATGTTGCGGAAGACCAATTCTAAACCGGAATCTTCACAGGATACGTACCCATGGTACAATCTGAAGATGATAGTTCAGCTGTTTTACGCCAGGGCTGCTTGTATTGGCCAGTCGATATTTATCTTTAATATTATCCTTTAACTAATTCATATTTTGTACATTCTGGCATTCCCACTCCTGTGACATCCCCGTATCGTGTGTGAGTGGGTTCACTTTGAACAGTATTTCAGTTATATCACGGCGTAGCAGCTGATCAGCGTATCAACGCTTTCTCAATGTAGGCGTGTGACGATCACCTCCAGAGCATCAGCCCGGAGAGCGGAAGGTCGGTGGTTCGATCCTCTGACCGCGCCATACCAAAACACGTTAATTAACCTGTTGTTACCCTGTCTGGCGCTCGGCATTGAGGGCAAACAAAACCCCAAAGGACGGGTCGGCTCTGAGTCAGGATATTGTGTTTCAGTAGGCTAGCATTATATAACTGACAAAACCCCGGACTAGTACACACACACATACACACACACACACGCACGCACGCACGCACGCACGCACACACACACACACACACACCATTTAACATCACCCTATACCCCTGTTCTTTTGCTATAGCTGTATATCTTGGTATTTTAAGGGGAGGTAGGGTAGCTTAGTAGCTACCACCCCTTACTCCGAAGATTCGTGTTCAATTTCCAACTGTGGAACACTGTATAAAGCCAACTGTTTATCAGTACTGACTATGATTGTCGCTCGATACCGCAGGGTACATGCACTGTATCTGGCAAACAATCGCTCTAAATTGAAAGGGATACTGGCCCTCCCCTTCACAAATCTCAATAACATGCCGTTCATCTCGCATATCTCCGTTTCCTGATTTCCGTGTTGGTTACATTGTGTCGGACTAAAGCCTGTTTCATGTCTGGGGCGGTCGGGTAGCCTAGTGGTTAAAGCGTTAGCTCGTCACGCCGAAGACCCGGGTTCGCATCCCGACATGGGTACAATATGTGAAGCCCATTTCTGGTGTCCCTCGCCGTGATATTGCTGGAATATTGCTAAAAGCGGCGCAAAACCAAACTCACTCACTCAATGTTTCATGTCTACCAGGAACACTACCAAAATGGCTAACCTGTCTGTGCTCGTGAACAGAGACCATATGGTCTCTGTCGTGAAACACACGTCTTATGAATTTAAAACGTCAACGCCTGAGAATTACCAGTCGCGATTATCCACCGATACAGATTCCATTGGGCGTAAAGGTAAAATAGCGGTGGAAATTATATGAATGGATCACTGAACATCAGTGATGGCACCAGGTGTTCGCGAGGGTATAGGATGATCAGAAATATGATTAACACTGTGACAAAACATTCCACCTGGCATTAAGCGTCTCCTGTTTTCGTGTGGGTTGTGTATAAAATCAGTTGTCACTGATAAGAAACTGTTGAATTACTAAGGGGACATAACTCTTTTCTCCTTAGTTGGTCCTCTGTACAATCGGATGCTTGTATTGGATTGGTTAGTGGCATGGACATTGCTAGAGTGCCGCAGAAGTATTTTGATCAATAATTGTTTTTATGTAATCGCTACAATCAACAGACTAACGAGCTATTTGATCGTTGTTTACTTGAAACCTGCCTGTAATACAATTAGGAAATCGTGGATAATGGCGTTCGTGGTGTGGTGCTGAGCAAGGGAATATGTTGGGGTTTTCGAGGATTTGAACAGTATTTCAGTTAAATCACGGCGTGTCAGTGAAATCAGGAAGGAAAGCCTGAAGTGTAAGTGGACGTAATGCCTTCTCTACCCCAACCTCCCACCGACCCGATCCCTCCCCTCTACCTCAACCTCCCACTGGCCCGACCCCTCCCCTCTACCTCAACCTCCCACTGGCCCGACCCCTCCCCTCTACCCCAACCTCCCACTGGCCCGACCCCTCCCCTCTACCCCAACCTCCCACTGGTCCGACCCCTCACCTCTAACCCAACCTCCCACCAACCCGACCCCTCCCCTCTACCTCAACCTCCCACTGGCCCGACCCCTCCCCTCTACCCAAACCTCCCACTGGCCCGACCCCTCCCCTCTACCCCAACCTCCCACTGGCCCGACCCCTCCCCTCTACCTCAACCTCCCACTGGCCCGACTCCTCCCCTCTACCTCAACCTCCCACTGGCCGACCCCTCCCCTCTACCTCAACCTCCCACTGGCCCGACCCCTCCCCTCTACCCCAACCTCCCACTGGCCCGACCCCTCCCCTCTACCCCAACTTCCCACCGACCCGACCCCTCCCCTCTACCCCAACCTCCCACTGGCACGACCCCTCCCCTCTACCTCAACCTCCCACTGGCCCGACCCCTCCCCTCTACCTCAACCTCCCACTGGCCCGACTCCTCCCCTCTACCTCAACTTCCCACTGGCCCGACCCCTCCCCTCTACCCAAACCTCCCACTGGCCCGACCCCTCCTCTCTACCTCAACCTGCCACTGGCCCGACCCCTTGCCTCTACTCCAGCCTCAACTGTTTTTATCATCAGTGTATTTAAATAATTTAAATGCGTTTCCCTGAAAAGAACTCGACTCTAGCCAATATCAGCAAAATCCATTCCTTTCAACTTTTAATACAGTACCAAATAGCATACAAAATCATACATTCTATAAGTGTGGTACTTTTCAAATCTAATTAGTCCATATTTTCTATTTGTGGAGAATAACGTGTATTTACATCACTTGGCAAACCGAATCACTTATCTCAGCCGATTCTTTTGATTCTCTTTTGTGTCTATCATGGCGGTGGCTGCGTCTGTGTTTTTCAACGACGACGTCCGGAGATCGACCCTCGTTCCGACGATCATTCCGATCAGAATGATGACGTTTGTGTCGACGATGACGTTCAGCTTCCTGTGTTTTCCTTTTTGAGTGCCGTATTTCGTCAACAGGTAATGCTTTGTCACGTTCCCCTTTTGAAGGAATGTAATTTTTCACACCACTTGTTCCCGGCACTGGGTTCTCGAATCTGTTTTTCTCCGATTTGTTGTCCATTTTCTCCGATTTTGTGTCCATTTTCTTTGATTTTGTATTGTTTCTTTGGGTCTCTGCATGTCTTCTTAAATTCCCCTCATCTGACCCATGGTGATATGTGTCCTGTGTTTCAATTCCCTCAAGTACCTTGGCACCACTTGGTCCGGGCATAGGGTTCATTAATAACGTTTCAAGTTCATTTGTTTGGGTTTTCTGTGGATACTTTTTCTGATTGGACACTTTCTTCTGTTCATTTTCCGCTCCCGCATCATTCACGTCAGAAATCCATCTCTCAATGGACTTCAGAAGATTCGGATTCTCATCAGACTTCTCAACAGTCTTGAGCTTCTGGGCAGTCAAAGGGCCACCCGGCGTTGTATTACCGTTCATCGTTGGTTGAGAGAGATTTATTTGGGTGGTTCCGTCTTTCTTGTCACCTTTGCTCACGAGCTGACTAGTCTCTGCTGTTCCTAGTTTGATTCCGTGACTCATGGCTTTATATGTCACCATTACGACATTACCGGATACAGACCTGTTTACGGCAACAGGAGCCATCCTAATTTGTGGCAGTTCAACCGCTTCGGCTTCTTTTGACCCACGCGTCTCGCGTTGATTTTTGCCAGTGACATTGTGCTTTCCCTTTTCCATCTTTACACTGACCTTGTTTGGAGTTCTTGACACTGAGCGAGAGGCTGGGTCAATTCTTCTGCGACCTGATATATCGGAATCTCTATCGGGTGTCTTTCTTTTGCTTGCAAATCTTTTCGACGCGCCTTGCAGTCGCCTAGATGGTTTCTTTGTATGTTGTCTGTATACGGTGTACTTGGAGGTTATGGCTTCGAAAAACGGCATCGTCATCTGTTTGATCCGCCATAGTTCTCCAATGTGATCGTACCAGCCCTTCTGGCGTTTGTAACTTATGATCTTTCTGGCCATCGTGGGTGTCACGCCAATAGTTTTCATTAATGTTCTTGCGGTAGAGTTGTTGAGATCCAACAACATTGTTGTCGACCCATCCTCAATCGGAGACATCGTCGTCACTTTCTACAATTCTGACAACGTCGTTTTCACTCGATGATATTCACACAACGATTAACGTCCGCCATTGTTACAAATGGTTTACAAGAGACGTCCTACTGATTGTGACGTCATATATCTGAAACGTCATAATTTTCATGACGTCATAGGAAGTGAAACAGTTGCACAGTGTTCGAATGTAAGCATTCGCTTTTAGATCTCCGGTATTGTTCAGTTTCGCTGTTTTACGTGAAAACTGTGTAGGGCCCCATTCCATTAAGCTATCATAGCCCTGAGGTTATCGTAACTCCCATAACATAGACTTCCGATAGTCGTAGCGCTAAGATGGCTTTGTGCCACGCGGCCCCGATGTCTTTGTCATCATATACATAAACCATGTACTTCTCAGCCCTTCCATTTGTACAATTTTGAATCCTCACAACCGGAGAATGCTCCCAACCAAATATGGTTGATATCTCTCTCATAGTTCCAGAGAAGAAGTCGTTTAAAGCATTATAGTTAAATTGCCCCTATTTTGCCCCCAGCCCACAGTCCCTTGAGGGGTCAGTGCTACCATTTGTATAATTTTTAATCCCAACCACTTGAGGATGCTTCCAGTCAAATTTCGTAAGTTTCCAATCAGTATGTCAGAAGAAGGAGTTGTTTGAAAAAATTGTTGACCTACGGGCGACGGACGCCACGGTATGGCATAAGCTCACCTTGGTCACTGTGAGCTAAAATTGACCCCCCCCCCCCCAAAAAAAAATATAAATAAATAAATAAATAAACAAATGCAGCCATATATTCCTATACCCGTCGGTTATTCAAAAACGTTTCTTTTGCTTTCACCTATTCAGTCTTCGTGCAATAATGAATACCGGAACACTGCCATCTAGTCCTACGTTATCTCGCTCAATGTCAATATGTATCGGTTAATCGCCATATAATTATAACTCTGGCAATCGGTTAATGTGTCAGTATGTCTCGTAATCAATCGCCGAAGTGCTACTAATGATCACGAATAAATATTCACTCACTTATTCATTCCCCTGTCACATGTCAAGAGCACCTTTCAAGATAAATATTATGTACTCGGAGCTTCGTTGGGATGAGCAAACATTGTAAAGAGAGCCGAGTTCCCGCAAGACTTTAAAGATCAATTATTCCGGGCAAGTGCAAGCGGTATCATGATCTTCTGTGTAACCATACCCGATCTATATGTAAGATGAAAACAAAACGGAGATCTTTATTACTGAACATATGTAACTTAGTTTGAAATTAACATGTGGCAACCTAGTATTACTTCATAGGTCGTCAGTTTTCATTTCCCAATATCTTTTTCCAAGAGCTGCGAGGGCGCGTTATGTTGTATTAGTCGGTTTACAAAAGATCCGTGTGAAAATCAAACAGTCATTAGAAAAATAATCTTGGAACGGCCCTGTTACTCAAATAGGTGTTGCCTCATGAACGTGTACACTGTAAAAATGAGTTTAGAATGTAAACACATACAATACATCTTTAGATCTGGACATGTTTAGGAATGTGTTTAAATCCTAAACGAAAGACACATTTGGTGTGTTCTGTCTGAGCACGTTTAGTGTCTAAACATATGAAATGAGCTATCGTCTCACAGCCTATACACCAGCTAAACACAACATCCCACAATCTAGACATGTTAAAGTAAAGTGCATATCATTGGGAATTAAGTCAAACATGTGTGCGATGTATGCATGATGTATATTCTACCATGACATTGAAGAATGCTTGATTCTGATTGGTTAAAACGTTTCCTTTTTGCAAGAAAATCTTTCTTTGAAGTATATTAAGCCTTTTCACACCTCAAACGTGCGTATTAATACATCGATAGTCTACATATCGATCCATAAAAAGATGGCCACCGAAAACGCTGGTTCTTTAATACAAGTCAGGCGGCATATTCTCGAAGCTGTTTTAGCGCTAAATTTTTAAGGTTGACGTAAAGGTGTCGTAGCGAAAACCACCCTAGCTAAGTCTCTTCCCAAAGCTGAATTAGAGCTAAGTTATCGACAGAATTTAATACAGGGTCCGACCTGTCTTAGGAGGGGTAAAATGGCGTGCAAAAGACGTGTTGAAGAAAACGATTCGACAATAAGTGTCTACTGTATTATTTCTGACTACAAAACCGAATGGTTTCCGCTTGGCCTTTCAAAACATGAACAACTAATCCAAGAAAACACGCCGCAAACATCGTATATTTCACCGATTATGACTCATGCCGAGTCCATGACAGATGATAGCTAAACAATCATTCCACGCAAAACGTTAAGCGAATCAACGTACCTTTTTGTTTGTTTCAGCTGAAAAATATAGAAGCGCAGTCGTATGCTACCACAATGACCGTGACCTTTTCTTATCAAGGGCAGTTAATTTAGAGTTAGAGTTAGAGTGGTTTCCCTTTGACTTCTTGTTCACCAAGCTCCTTCCCAGCGCGTGACACCTTTGTTACACTCTCGGTAACATAGAGAGCTCCGTGAACGGGATATCGCTGTGAGGAGCTTGACGTGTTCAGCAGCTCTTCACATCGATAGCCCGTTCGTCACAACTATGCTTGGAGTTGAACTCGCAACCGACGGACTGTTCTGTTTACAAACAAGCGAAGACTGCTGTGGGGTCGACTTTAGTTTGCAAATTTCAAAACACAATTGGTTTATCTCCACTATAAGATTCACGGGACTTACAACGAACTTGCTACAATATTAACATAAAAATGTACAACTTAACCGAGCAAAGATAATGGTGACAACAACAAAAACTGTTACGTCAACAATATGCGTAGCCGGTGGTAGCGTGAAGGACTTCTACAATTCAAGAGTCTGAGGGTTCGTATCCCGCCGAGGTGTTAAAAGAATTGTGTATGACTGATAGTATTTCTCTCATACAAAAAAACAAAAGCTGAAAATAATTATATGTCTGATTACCACGAAAGCGCACGTTTATTCACACCTGTAGTTGTTAAAGACAGTCCTAAACATGTTAAGACCCAAAACGTATGGGACAGGGAACACGCTTAGGTTTCTGTTTAGGGTCTAAACACATTTCTTTAAGTGTAACGCACAGTATAAATACATGTTTGGAGAGGTAAACGTTTAAACTGACTCCTGAAACTACTTAAATGTTGGCAATCGAAACCCAAATCCACTGGTTAGAGGTCTTAACGGCCTTTGCTGCAGATATTCTGGGTATGCGATGATGTCTTAATCTGCTGATGCTACCGTTAAACCATTTGCTAGCAACATTTAACTCAAGTTAAAGTAAGTTTCGTGCGGTTATTTTGAAGTTATTAAATTGGTATGTTAATGTTGGAGTTGAAATTAAAAAAATAAAATCCGCCCGTTAAAATATTGTGTCAACAACTTAAAAAAAATAATTTCGACCTTTTTGGACCTCATATAAAATCTATAATTGTTTAAGACCGCCTCCGTGGTCTAGTGGTAAAGTGTCCGCCCGGAGAGCGAAAGGTCCGGGGTTTGATCTCCGGCCGCGTCTTACCAAAAGATGGTACTTGTTGTTACCCTGCCTGGCGCTCGGCATTAAGTGACTAAAGCAAGTACAGGTCGGCTCGGAATCAGTATACTGTCTGAGTGGGGTATGTTAAACTGTGTATGGTATCTCAGTAGGCTCGCACTAGAAATCGGCATCAGTCCGGGCTAGTACAAGCAGCCATACACACACGTGCATGCACGTCGCTATATAAGTCTGTGCAATAGTCTTAAAACGCGACGTTAAACCTTCCCTCCCCCACCTATAATGGTTTAATGTAATCGAAACATCATAAGGTTAGTGGGGCTGTATCTTGTATATAGGATGTGCCCTGTTTTTAATCAATGCTCATATAACAAACTCTACCGTTTGTCTGGCAAGTTAAACGAAGGTTATTCGGTCATAACAAGGCGTATGGTTGGGTGAATAGAAGCATATAAATTGTAAAGAAAGGCGGTATAGTTTATCCATTATTTCTATGGTAGCGATAAGGTATTGATTTAACACGCCGACCAGAGCTAATCCGACACATTATCTAATCAATTTTACGCACGACTGAAACAATAACCGTTTGAAAATCGATATGAAACAAGCAGCTTCTTGCAGCTCTGAGGGAACTACTGGGCCTAAAACAACGATCATATTCAGTCTTTTCAGTTTTAATTTCAACTGAAATTTCAATTTGTTTCTGCTCAGACAAATAATTAGCAGTTGTGAGTGGGTGATTTAGGTGAACTGGGTTAGTTATATCACAGCGTGACAGATTGATATGGGAGGAAAACTCAGACATTGAAGGTCACTTGCAATGGAGGTTGACGTCGCGGTCATAATTATTGCATTTTTCATAGCGTGTGCATTTCTGGTGTTCCCCGCCGTGATATTGCTGGAATATTGCTAAAAGTGGTGTGAAACCATACTCACTCATTCACTCATGGCGTATATGTGTGCGCGTGCGTGCGTGTGTTAGTACTATTCCTGACTAATGCCGGTTTTATAGTGCTAGCCAATCCTAGCTGATCAGTCCTTGTTTTAGCCCACTGCCCACTGCCCACTGCCCTAGTCGGACTGATCTGAGACTTGAACCCACGACCTGAGATTACTTATAGGATTAGGTACACAATTATGTTCAGCGTTGTTCAGTGGCTTTGACTACTGGGCCACCCCCGCCACCAAATACTTGGTTAATATCCCTCTTTGACATATAGTACATATCTCTTGGGTATTCGATACCACCTTTTGTGAAGGCTCGTGGTTATCGGAGTGAATGTTGCACTATTACAACCATATCTGGGCAAATCTGACCCAAACAATTTTGATAGGTGACCAGACAGCAAACAAATCACCTGGGCGCTAATCCGCAAAGCGATCATAGCGTTATGATGGTCTTAAGTAATGGTTAAAGAATAGGATTACTTTACTAATGCAATTCCTTATTTAGACTTGTACCATATGTTCCTGTGGGTTTTTTTTTGTGAACAATTGACTTGCCTTTGCATGTGTTTGTGACGGGTGCCACCGGTGGAACAGGATACGCTCACCTTTTCGCGAACACCTGGTATCATTACTATACGATTGTGATTCAAAAACACGTGCTCATGATATAGTCGGAATCGTACAATGGACTCTGCTTTATGCAGAGATTTCTATTGGTTATCCTATCTGGAAAGGTTTTGTCGCTTTAGTTAGTCTTCTCTGTATACGCAAACATGAGGTACGTTGGACATATCCTGTAAGTGTGTCGCCACTGTAACGTTTAAGGGTGGTGAGGTAGGTCAGTCGGATAATTTTCTTAGTAAGGAACAGGATCTTGGTTTCCAGGTACAACATGCATGGATTGTTAATCTAGTTGATATTGCAGCAGAAAGTGTTCGAAAATTCGACCCACTGCATGAGTTACTGCACAGCCTAGTCGAACCCACCCAGAACATTTCAGAGAATGTAGGGACTCCCCAATACTGCAGCCTTCTGCATTACCCAGATTGTCAGGGCTGTATTTCTGGTAACAAACCCGGGTACTCTCCCAATGTAAGTCAACCGACTGGGGGGTACCAAACTTAAAGCACGGAGAACAATGGGGAGTCGGGCAACTTGGTACTTGGGATGCGAGCGTGACGTTTCGAAAGCGAGGTCCGCATATTTGCCATGTTATTCCTGAATCCTGTCCATCACATCAGTGTCAAAAGGGACAGAAAATTGAATTGATATAAATGAATTTATTGGATTATCAAAAAGGACAAGATCAGGTTTGATGGCCTAGGTATGTCTGAGGCTGTATACGGGCCAATTCCAAACAATTTTGTGTTCATCATTTTCCATGACGCCCTTTACATATTTCTTGTGTCCAAATATTGTTTTATGATGTACCATTGTATTTGTGCGTGAGGCAACTGTGGCCGTATCTGTTCACAGTCACAATTTTACAACATCGTGACGACCCGTGAAGATCCGGAGTAGAATAGGTCTTCAGCAACCCATGCTTGCCGTAAAAGGCGACTATGCTTGTCGTAAGAGTCGACTAACGGGATCGGGTGGTCAGGCTCGGTGACTTGGTTGATGCATGTCATCGATCCCAATTGCATGGATCAATGCTCATGACATTAATCACTGGATTGTCTGGTCCAGACTCGATTATTTACAGACGGCCGTCATATAGATGGAATATTGCTGAGTGCGGCGTTAAACAACAAACCAACCAACCAACCAACCAACAACATCGTGACAAAGTTCGTTTGCTTGTTCGATTGCTTATTATAGATCTTAATAAACATCCATTAGAGAGCTTCAGACATTGTTTCCATTTGGAGCATCGATCTGTCATTGAAAGAGCGACGCCCACACTACGTTGTCCTACTGGGCCATGACTAGGCTAATCAACCCCCTCCGCATGGTGAGTTCACGTTAGAATAGGTCCCAGTAGCCTATATGTAGATGCTTGTACGGGTGGCCAGACTCGGTAAATAATTGTGTGGTGGCTATTGTAGCAGTAGCGGGGGTAGTAGCAGTAGTCAAAGTGGTGGTGGTGAACAGGTGTTGTTTGTAGTTGTAGTGGAATAGTCTTAGTGGTAGTGGCAGTGTTTTGTTTGTTGCTTGGTTAACGCCGCACTCAGCAATCTTCCAGCTATATGACGGCGGTCTGTAAATGATCGAGTCTGGACCAGACAACATAGTAATTGATATCATGAGCATTTGGGATCGATGTCATGCATCAACCAAGTCACCGAGTCTGACCACCCGATCCCGTCAGTCGCCTCTTACGACAAGCATAGTCGCCTTTTACGTCAAGCATGGGTGGTAGTGGTAGTGGTAATAGTAGTAGCGGTATTGTGTAGTTGTGGTAATTACATTGATAATGGTAGTGGAGGTAGTTGTATTGTGGTAGTAGTAGTTATATTGCGATAATTGGTGATTGCAGAGACAATAGTAAGTGCAGCTGTAATGGTATGTGTAGCGGTAGTGGTAAAGCCCTCTTAGTATTGCCATGGGGATAGCGGAGTGTAATTGTAGCGGGAGAAGTAAAGCAAGTGTAGCGGTAGTGGTAAAGCCCTCTTAGTATTGGCATGGGGATAGCGGAGTGTAATTGTAGCGGGAGAAGTATAGCAAGTGTAGCGGTAGTGGTAAAGCCCTCTTAGTATTGGCATGGGAATAGCGGAGTGTAATTGTAGCGGGAGAAGTATAGCAAGTGTAGCGGTAGTGGTAAAGCCCTCTTAGTATTGGCATGGGGATAGCGGAGTGTAATTGTAGCGGGAGAAGTATAGCAAGTGTAGCGGTAGTGGTAAAGCCCTCTTAGTATTGGCATGGGGATAGCGGAGTGTAATTGTCGCGGTAGTAGTATAGCAAGTGTAGCGGTAGTGGTAAAGCTCTCTTAGTATTGGCATGGGGATAGCGAAGTGTAATTGTCGCGGTAGTAGTATAGCAAGTGTAGCGGTAGTGGTAAAGCCCTCTTAGTATTGGCATGGGGATAGCGGAGTGTAATTGTCGCGGTAGTAGAATAGCAAGTGTAGCGGTAGTGGTAAAGCCCTCTTAGTATTGGCATGGGGATAGCGGAGTGTAATTGTCGCGGTAGTAGTATAGCAAGTGTAGCGGTAGTGGCTTGAGCGTATTGCTGGTTGAAGCTGCATACGTAGCAGTAGTGTAAACGTAAACGTAGCCGTAGAGGTTGCGATAGTACCTGTGCTGGCAGATGTCGCTTTAGTAGAAATGATGGCTGAAGCTGGTTTCAGAGTAAGACTTATATCGCTACACTTTTATCATTCATGACCCTACTTAGGAAATTAATCATTTATTTATTTACGATCTAAACCTAACAATTCCTTCATTTCAGGCTGGCAAGTAAATGGTCAGAAACCGAGGTTCCGCTGTAAAAACGTACACCCTGTAACTGCCTAACCTATTCTCTGCAAAAACGCATGCGTTTTCTATGAATGTCGCATATCCGTATCGGATTAGGTGTCTGGTGCAGACCGAACGCCGGATTGCGATTGATCTTGGCGGAATACCGGACAGAATGGACAAAGTTAGTCTCCGCTGATGATTAAAGAGCCAGACCAGCCGAGCCAGTAATCCCGTTTACCCCTCCACATCAAATATTTTGACAGACACAAAAAAGTCTCGCTTGCGTTAAAAGGGAGAGATGTGTCCTTCTTTAGCACAGTAGAGCGGTTAAATAGACGGAAACCCAATAATCAAAACCGATATTTGACGTGGTGAGCTGGCTGTTTCTTCAGGGTCGCTGCTTGAAGAATTCTCATTTTTTTTATTTCTTAAAATAGCTGGAAATCTATCAGGGTCTGAACTATCAGGGTTTCCGGACAGACATATGTGTTAACAACCCCGGCCTTTTGCAATCCGTCACATTTTTCCGACATTGGCCGAATCTGAGATCGGGAATCATCGGTGAACGGAAACAAAAGCATTGAAAGGAGAGATTCTATTGAAATGAAATTCTATTTGTGGCGATCTTGATGCAGGCATCCTCCAGCAAATTCTGCAGATCAATAACTCTTCCTCGCTCCGACCAGCTTTGCATCCGATCGATCGATTGACTGACTGAGCATGCGCGGGATCGAAGAAGGAGTATGGCGGACGGTCTTCCTCCCGTGATACCAGTTGGTTGCGAGAGTGACCCCTGACTTGTTTAGGCTATGTCCTATTAACGTGGAAGCTTCATTCGACGCTTGTCAGTCACAGTTCCGTCGTTGGCCATCAGGTACTGCTCACTCAACCACGCTCAGCAGGACAGAGGCCTTGAAACAGAAGCTGACGACTCTAATAGACGACCTATTCTCGTGCAGGTTTGTTTACTATCTTATCAACATACAGATCTGATATCGATATAATATTGATACACCTTACTACAGATTCCCATCCCTTTGAATTTTACAATCTCTGTCAATTGCTATTTTACACCAAAAAAAAAAAAAATAAATGTTTTGAGGCAATTATTATGTTGTTTCGGTGAGCATGCTGGTAAATTCAGCAGGAGACACACGCAATGCCGTTATTAACTTCTATTGAACGTCCACTAAATCCTGACTTCCAACCATTCAACTCAGTTGGAGTTCCAGGATGTCGATAATGCCGACTTCATTTACAGACAATCACATTTGCCCTGGTGCGACAGGGATCGAATCTCGCTGGTGCGTGAGGGAAGAATATTTATCCCGCATCAAAAGAAAACACTTTCGCTAGCAGAGCAATTTCTACTTTTGTTGTTAAGAAAATCTACCAATGCTCCTAGCGCCAGCTCAATTATTACCATAGCCTTAAATTTGATTTTGAAACCAAAGTCGACGAACAAAATCGTCCAAAATACTTTCAGTCCTATCTTACGCTTCTCTGATTCTGAATGGTAAATGTGAGGGGTCGATATTGAAGGAATGCCTCTGTATTTGCAGTATTTACACAGCATCTCGTTCCTGCCACTGCCTCTCTTTCCCGCCATTTCCTACAGCAGACGACGAGGAGCAGACGTCACTGTTAAACACATCTACTACCGCGACGTCGATGTAAAACTTGAAGACGGCTTTCTTTGCTCTCTGCATGGAACCAATGCGTGTCAATTGAAAGGCAGCTAACGTGTCCGTCTGTCTGCTTCAACGTTTGTTCATCACTGATTAAGGAATCATTAAATTATAGAACATTATAGAACCGACTTATATTAATCACGTAAACAGTTCAATTGGAAGAATTAAGGTTCAGAGGCAAGAACTGAAGAAACGCAGAAGAAGTCATCAGCTCATTGTTCCCCTGAGCATCAACCCACAGCACCACCTGTTGCCCCACCTGTTGCGCCACTCCCTCTCCATGATGATCCGACTGGTAGTAACCGCCGTCTACATCGTCTCCGGCTTCCACGCCTTCTTCGGGTTACTTAGCGTTGTCGTCGGTGTCATATCCAGCATCAAGGCAGAGGTGTGGCTTGCCCACAGTGTATCGCCCATATGGAGCGGGGGATTTGTGAGTAGATTTTTTAAAACTTTTTAAAAGGATATATCTATCGTGCATCCTTTGTTCAGCATGAAATTTAAAGTTGCACTGGATATATCTACCTTATATCCTTTGTACCTTAAGAAATCAAAAGTTGGATATGTCATATATCCTTTGTCCAGCATGAAAGTTGCACGGGATATACCTATTGTGTATCTTTTGTGTTCTATGTCAGTTACATCTATTGCAACACTACTGACACTAGTGTTGAATTTAATCCTTACGATCACGAAAGAAACGTTAACTGTTGCAACAGTTTCACAGAAATTCATCTCCGGCAATTGACTTGTGCCCCCTTGCTTAGTCCAACAGGCCAGAGAATGACAGACCATGATGTAAAGTGTTAGGGATTGGACACAGTAGTAAATCCCCTTTTCTGAGACCTATAGCGTCATCTTTGAGATATTATGATTTGTGAGTGTGATAGTTTTAGAAAACTGTCACTTCATCTGTGATTCTTCTGTACATTGGCATGATAAGAAGTGGAAAGAAATAACACCGTGTTCTGTACACAGTAATACGTACAGCATCGCGTGTGTATTGTCGCGTGCCGCTACTTGTGGGGCCCCGGGGGTTTGGTAGACATAATCACGCTTTATCCACGGTCAAGGACGAAGGCCAAGGACAAAGGTCTTTGTGAACAAGCAGACCGAATGTACTAAAACAAAACGTATTTATGCTTATACAATATTCTGTTGTGCAACAGCTGAAAGGTCATTGTTTAACGGGTACCACTTTCAAGTGAGTGAGAGTATATTTTATGTCTCACATCAGGAGACACCAGAAACGGCCATTACACGTCGTAGCCATTAGGAGCATTGAACATGGACCTTCGGCCTGACAGGCGAACGCTTTAACCGCCAGGCTACCCTACCGCCCCACTTTTATATATCAGGGTACTTTACAGTGTGTGTTTTAGTACCTGGCGTGCCGATTATACACTATTATTAAAAATATATACATTAAATTTACCCTTCGCCATGATAGCATTTTTCTATATACTGGTTTCACAGTTGGTTCGCACAACAAGATTAACGCTTGCGGCCAAAACATGTACGATACGTGTACTAATATGTGTGAACGCGTTCTTAATTACGAATGTAGTGAGGTGAAATTGGGGTTTAACGTCGCGTCCAAGATTATTGCACTCATATAGCGACGTGCATGTACGTGTGTGTGATTGTGTGGCTGCTTGTACTAGTCCGAACTAATGCCGATTTATAGTGCTAGCACTGATATACCATGCAGCAGTTTAACATCAATGCCCCAGTATACAGTATACTGACTCCGAGCCGACCAGTCCTTGTTTTAGCCCCTTAATGCCGAGTGCCAGACAGGGTAACAACAAGTACCATCTTTTAACGTCTTTTAGTATGACGCGGTCGGGGATCGAACCCCGGATCTTCCGCTCTCCTGGCGGACGCTCTACCACTAGACGACGGAGGCGGTCTAATTACGAATGTAAATAAACGGGGAAAGATTTCCAGATAAATTTGTTTGGGGCGATAAAAATTACGACAAACTGCTCTGCTAAGGGTTCAGGGGTATGGGGACATGGGTATACTATGTGAAGCCCATTTCTGGTGACCCCCGCCGTGATGTTGCTGGAATATTGCTAAAAGCGGCGCAAAACCATATTCACACACTCACTGTTTCCGATTTTTAGGGTCACATTCCTTGCGCTAACCCTGGTGAGACCTAGACTTTCACAATAACTAGCCCTGATCGAGAATGAACGCCACCAATAGCAATTTATAATGGACAGCATGTTTAAGTCTCATACCAGATTCTATGAAATTACATTTGAAGATTCTAACCCCATTAGAGGCCACGGCGTGTCAGCCTTCAATGTCATTTCGAAATACACAAGTGTGTGCACCACTATAGACCTGTGATCAATATGTGAAACTGTCTAAGAGCTGGGCAGTGAGAATCAGACGATGAGGTGTAGCTCGTCCAACTGATGAAGCGGAGACTTGAAACTGCACCCTCTCTTGTATTATTTAGATCACGAGCTCGATAAAATCCGTCATTAACGTATCAAGCTTTTCACTGCATCGGGACTTGAAAAGAAATTGACTTATTTCTTCAAGGACTTTGCCGAAAACAATTATATGAAAGTGAATTTGTTTGTGTGGATGAAATAAAAAAATGTATATGGAGAGAGAATGCAAAAGTATGTTATTGATAGGAAGGTTTACTCCCCAGGGAGTTGAGCGAAACTGCTACAGTTCCTATACTGACAGCGAGGTATAATCCCAAGGGAGATGAGAGTGCTTGAAAATGTTTACTGGCGTAGAGGTTTACTCCCCAAGGAGATGAGTGAGTGAGTGAGTGAGTATGGTTTTACGCCGCTTTTAGCAATATTCCAGCAATATCACGGCGGGGGACACCAGAAATGGGCTTCACACATTGTACCCATGTCGGGAATCGAACCCGGGTCTTCGGCGTGACGAGCTAACGCTTTAACCACTTGGCTACCCGACCGCCCCCAAGGAGATGAGAGACTGCTAGAATATGTGTACTGGAAAGGAGGCATACTCCCAAGGGAGCTGAGAGACTGGGATCGTCGTATCTCTTAGGTGGTTCTTAACATTTAAGCTTCATATTTAACATCCGCATGTGGTAAATTACCCTAGCTCTATACGTCCGCCATTGCTTACTTATCACATGATATGTGTCTTTTCTAAAATAATCTCAATGTAATTATTGACTTTCACGTGAATATATACTCTGCAAAGAAAGTGCAAAAATGATTTTACATGTATATTTTAATACCATATAAATAATTTTAGTAATTAGCACACATCATTGTCATTGACCCTGGTTCCATATGGCACACATGGAACAGTAGATTTTCTAGATGAAGGTCATCTGTTCTCAATACCTTGTATGACCACCATTAGAGTCCAAAACTGACTGGCATCGTCGTCTCATGGAAGCAATCAGATGCCGAATTGTGGCCTGGGTAATGTTCACCCACTCTGTGTACAGTGCTTGTGCCAGCTGTCGGAGGTTTTGTTGTTGTTGCTGACGTGCTCGTTGATCCAGTGCATCCCATAAATGCTCGACTGAGTTTTAATCTGGAGACCTGGAGGGCCATGGCAGGACCTGGATGTTGTGACTCCTGAAAAAGCCTGTTGTCAGTCTTGCTGTGTGGTTTCGGGCGTTGTCTTGTTGGAAAATTACGTTCGCTTGTTTCATTATGGGAAGGACGTGTGGCCGAAGAATGTCATCCGTGTAACGTTGTGCCGTTAAATTCCCCAGTACTTGCACCAAGTCTGTTCTACCAGTGCAGGAGATATCTGCCCACATCATCACACTACCACCACCACATATGTCCACTTCCTGTATGCAGTTTCGTGCAAGACGTTCCCCGCGACGCCTGTAAACACGACGTCTGCCATCTGTCCGGCAAAGCCTAAAACATGACTCGTCACTAAACCAAATCTGTCTCACTCGCAGTTGTGGCCATACTCTGTGACCTTGACACCATTGACGTCGCAGCCGATGATGCAGGTCCGTTAAAATGATACCTCGATACCTACAGCGCGTGGACGGTTCCTCACTGTCTGGGGTGATATCCTACGCAATCCTGGTATTGTCGTTGTTGTAGAGGTGGCCGTGGTGGTTCTTTCACATCAGTGACGTAACCGTAACAGTCTGTCCTGTGCTCTAGTAGTGTTACGTGGTCAAGTGTCTGAGAACGGTTCCACAGTCTGTAATGGTTTTGGGCGCTACGTGGAAAACCCTGGCAACAGCCGAATGTCATTCTCCTGTTCGAGACGATGGCGTTGTTGCGTTCGGCTTTCGTCAGTCGTGGCATGTTTTCGCTGTTCTCTTATGCCGTAAGTTTGTGATAGCATGCAAATAAAAACACAACGTTTTTATAGCCCAACAAGTAATGTTGCACGTGCATGTCACGTTGGTATGTGTCGGCGCCAGGCTCTCACGTGGTTGTGTTTTTGGCGTTTTTTCCGTCTTTTCACCACATTTCTGCAGTACTTCATCCTTTCCACATAAATTAATCCCATTCTATGCAGAAATGACCCATTCATGTTTGGTACTATTTTGGGGGGGATGTCGGCAACACTATCTGTTGCGGTGTTTTTTGCTTAGTATAAATATAAATGTTCCGAAAATGTCATACATACTACAATTATGTCAATGCATATTTCTAAGAGTGGGAGACATGACTATGATTCATATTTAATTGATTGAAGTACAATGTTGCGTGCACTACGGACTTGGCCTTCAACAAAGACGAGCGATGTCAAGGAAAATCCTGTTTGGAACATGCAACTTTGGATCAATTCTATTACAAAGTTATTTTAAATAATAATGACGTGGGCTCCCAAATCAATACCAGATGATTGAGTCCTTCTTCCAACCTGCCTGGAGCCGGGAGGACGGAACCATTGAGTGCATCCTGCTATATTCTTAAATTTAGACAATGCCTCGCGAAAGTCTGGACAAAAACGCTACACAAAGTAAAAATATAACTTTGAAGTAGATTATGAAACCATGATCTGTCAGCACCGGTTATCATAAAGCAGAAAGGAGGGAAATATCTCCCCAAACGAAGCCAGTTTTTATCTCTGAAATTTACCTTACTTCTTTTAAAACCCATTAATCCAATACGATCTTATGAATTTTTTGAGCATTGTTTTTTTATTTCCCAAGCCTTATTTCCATTTATTCAATGTTGTTATAAATCATGAGTTTGTTAGCGATTCGCTCTGCAGAGTTGGCACACCAGAAACCTATGATTGTGGGTTCGAATCCCGGTTTCGCCCCGATTATGTTTCTAGGTTTGTCAGCACCATACCCGTGCTCGTGGGTTTCACCGAAGTGGTAAACGTCTGATACCTGCACCACTTCGGGCATTAAGCTGACACGCCGCGATATAAATATATACAGTTAAATGCGGCGTTAAACCCAACTCACTCACTCACTCCAACACTGAGCAT